TGCATTAATATAGTAAACACGTTGATTTAATATTTTTCTTTTTGCATTTAGTATCATACGTTTAAAATAAATATCAAACAGAAATGCTAAAGTATATATAAATAATAATTAAGATATAAAATATATATATTAAAACTGAAAGTAATATAAAGATTATAGTTACAAGTTTAAAAATTAAAAAGTAAAAGGTTGAAAATGAAAACAAGATTGAAACCTTGGGTGGATTGATGGGGCCGCCACCGCATTTTTACAAAGAGAAATGAAACAGCCCTATTTTTACAAAGAGAAAGCAAAAGGAACCTATGTTTACAAAAAAACTCTCTAATTTCGTTTCCATTTTTGATGCGATCCATCTGTTATTGTTTTAAAAAAATGTATATAATCCATTTCCCAATGAAAGTCAACTTCAGAAATTTTGTATTTCAAGTGTTTACATCAAGATAAATTTAATGTTTCTAAATTATTCAACCTCGTATAAAATTGCATGAATATGATTTTTTTTTGTTTTTGGTTTTCTTAGTGAGTCCTTAGTCCTTACTTTATTATGAAATCATTGGTGTCTTTATGATAGTTAGTCTTTTGGTATAGGTACGAGAATTATAACTTCTATGCGGATGCCAACAATCCGGGTGGTATTGAAATATGTGGTAATACAAAATCGCCTCAGCAAACAGAGTTCAAAAAAACGGTAGAAGGATTGATATCAGACCTTCGAACAGCAACACCAAGAACATCAGATTTTTATGCAGTTTCCACAAGGGCTTTACCTGATCGTTCTGGAACAGTTTACGGGATTGCCCAATGCAATCTAAACTTAAGCCAAAGTGTTTGTGAAGATTGTTTGAATTCAAGATATAGTTCTTTAGATGATTGTCTTCCTAGCACTAATGGGTGGGCTTTTAACAACGGTTGTTTTATGAGGTACTCCAACACTCCGTTTTTTGGGCTAAACCAGACGACTAATATTACACCTCTTCTTTGGGATGGTGAGACCTCTACTCTTTTAGAAACCACCTTTTTCAAGTTACTGGGTTTAAACTATTGTATTGATGAATATTTCTTTTCATATCTACGCTGTATAGGAAATTCAAACAAGAAGAGATCCATAATTGGGGGAGTCTTTGGAGGTGTATGCTTTCTGTTGCTTGTAATTGCATTTGTCGTACGGCGTCTCAGATCAAAAAAGACTAGTGGTCTCCAACAAGGTAAACAACAAATTCACCATTTAGCATGGAATTTTGTAATATAGAACTGTTTAATTAATTTCTTTGAGCATATTTACATCTTCCTGATATGTTCCCTTAAGTTTTTGTTTCCCAATCTGAAGATAAATCAACTGGATCAACTGAGTTGCTGCAAGGTCCAGCAAGATATAGCTACAATGATTTAAAAGTAGCCACTGAAAACTTTAGTGACGAGTGCAAAATTGGAGGTGGTGTGTTTGGTGAAGTATATAAGGTAATACTACGGTTGAAATATATATATTTCTAACTAGAATAATGATTAATGACATAATTGTATCTTTTAAAAGATAAATTGTAATAACCACCATTTTACGCATGAACCCATGATTGACAAAATGGTCATTTACTTCACTTCACTGTTTGTGTATGGTAGGGCATTCTAAAAGATGGGGGATTTGTTGCAATTAAAAAAACAGTTATGTCCTCCACTAGAGGAAAAATACACTTCAATGATCAACTTAAGATCATTAGCAATGTTCATCACCGGCATCTTATTCGTCTTCTTGGATATTGTAGCAAAGGGCCTCTCTTATTTCTTGTCCACGAGTTCATGAACAACGGTAGTCTTGATCAATTCCTTTATGGTGAGTTGAAGCATCTTATTTAGCTTATGAGTTCTTCGAGTTTATCTCCATTTTGCATCTGCTGAAGTTACTTTTTATGGACAGGTGACAAATCAAGGAACCTAAGTTGGAGACAGAGGTTTGAGATTATCTTTGGGACAGCAAGGGGTCTTGCATATCTACATGAACAGTATCATGTTACCATCATTCATAGGGATATAAAAACGAGCAACATTCTCCTTGATGATGAACTACAGCCCAAAATTGCAGATTTTGGGTTGATAAGGCTCCTACCAGAAGACAAGACTCATCTTAGCACCAAACTGGCAGCGTCCTTGTATGTTTAAATGAATGCATTAATTGTCTACCAACTCTTACTTCTCTCATTCTCTTTATCAAAATCTGTCCTTAATAAATATCTTAAATCTTACCAGGGATAGTGGTTATGTAGCACCAGAATATGCTATTCATGGGCAATTGTCTGAGAAAGTGGATACATACAGCTTTGGTATTGTGGTCCTTGAAATCATTAGTGGCAAGAGGTGCCACGATGTCATAGATGATAAATCAGTTAATCAAAGCCTCCTTGATCATGTAAGAATTGTAAACTCAAGGATCAATGGTCTTCTAAAGCGTTACATTCACTTGTTATTTCTTATTTGTGGTCCATTAAGTGATGTCGTGATTTATTATATGAAGAGATATTAAAGTTTGTAAAGATTTTATTAACTTTTATTTTATTATTTTGTATGATAGGCTTGGAATCTATACGAGAGTGGCACGCATGTGAATCTAATTGACAACAGACTAGATGCTAGTGAATATGCAGCAGAAGATGTAATGAAGATCATAGAGATAGCATTGATGTGCACTCAGTCACAGGTTTCTGCAAGGCCTGCAATGTCTGAAGTGGTTACGCTTCTAAGTGACAAATCTCTAGATGAAATACCACCAATAAGATCTACGTTTCACGAAAATGATATAAAGATTCCAATTGATACCTCGATATCATTGTCCTCTAATGCCGCTGCCTCCACTGTTCAAGTTTCTGGCCGTTAAAACCTCATTTTATACACCATTACTGGTTTTAAATTCTATAAATATATAGAATAATATAAGGGTTTTAAAATCACATAAATCTTATTGTATGTATTCATGACTTTATATACTACAAGGATATACAATGGGAACTGATTTGTAAACGACAATTTTTTTCCATACACAGTAAATTGTGTTTTAAAATTTCGTATTGTACAACCCTATAAAATATAAATTGTTGTGTATAGAGAAAAAAAAATTATATACGAATCATCGAACTATCCTAAAATACATGAAATACAATAATCATTAAATCTTATGTGTTAGGAATAAAATGTAAACCATAATCAAATTGAACAACATAATTTACAGTGGAAAAACCCAATATGGTAATAAATTTTTTCTTAAAAAAAACATTAGAAACACTACATTTAAACTCAATAATGTTGAAGGAGCACAATGGCTTGTAAGGTTAAAGGAAGTAGTAAGTTTGTCATGCTAAAAGTACTGACATGTACGCACATTTGATTTACCACATTGCTTCGAAAGTTTTCCTTTTAGAGGGTGCGGGTTGCCGCTTTTGGCATGCTTATTATTATTTTTTTTCTAAAATTAATTTATATAAAAAATAATCAATTTCAACAAATTATTTTTATAAAAAATAAAATTTCATTAAACTTGAAAGGAAATTAGAGCACACAAAAAAACAACATAGAATTTAAAAATATAAAACTTAGAAATTAAAATTACGAAACCTAGAAATTAAAATATGAAGCTTGAAGTGACACATTAGAACACGAAGGAAGGTATCTTCCATTCTAGAATTTGACTCAAAAAGACCTGAGTCTAAAGTGTTGCATCATATGATGAGAGGTCAGTAGAACATGACCCATCGGTCTATTATGATAATTGAAGTAAATAACTTATCTTAAGTTAAGTTTGTTTAAGAAGGAGCATGAGTCTCCAATAAAGATCGAGTTTGTAACCCGAAGGTTACGATTGAAAGTCCAACATAATACAAAGATCGGGTGCAAGATTGAGCACCGCCAGCAGTCAAGAAGTCCACAAGTTAGATACTCATTTGAAAGCACATAAGAGTTACGGTTATTACTTAGGATGAAAAGATAATATATGGAGTCATTATACAAGCCTTGTTTTGTTGATGATTCTGGGACGTAATCATCCTAAGGGGGAGATAATTGTAACGCTCGTAGATTCGGGCTAGTCAATTTAGAGATAATAATCGCTAAAAACGACTTTTTGATAGAATATTATTTATGACAAATAATCTCAAATAAATTTATAGTGTATGTGAAAAGGATTCCGTGCATATAAAGAACGCTAAAATCCGACTTCGTATGAAGAAGTTATGACCCGTCGAAGTTTCACGATTAAACTGGCAAGACTCTACGTATCATAAAAAGTGAATTTTTGACAAATTACTTTTTATCCTTAGTAATCTAAATGAAACTCATAGTATTCGTTAAACCGAGAGCGTGCATATAGAGAACGTTTAAATCTGACTTCAGTAGAGTAAATTGTGATTTTTCGAAGTTTCAGCGCAGTAGTGCGGGCACAGAAATCGAATTTTTAGATTGCTAAATTTTTAGCCAAAATGATCTAAATGAGAATTGAAGATCTCATCAATAGAAGTTCAACGATAAAAATACAGTCGAAAACAGAGTCCGTATGTAGAAGTTATGAATTTTACACGATCGTTAACAATGTAATCTTCTCAGACTATTCAATTTTAAATCAGTCAAGAATTAACCGATGGGGTCAAAAGGAAAGTTGTAGATCTTCTCAATACCTACGTGTGGATATAAAGAAGATCAAAACTGAAGCTCGTATACGAAAGTTATGAATTTTTTAAAATCACCAGGCGAAGCCTTGGTGCCTACGCAAGCTCACGACGTGATAGGCCCCTGGACAGCCTACAAATAGAGCCAAATTTCACTCATTTCATCATACCTTTCCATTATATTCTCTCCCAAAGTCCTAAGACCTTTTCTCTAGCACTTCCTAGGTGTTAGTAGCAAGCCCTGAAGCGCCGGAAGGCACCGAGTAGAAGAGCTTTCAGCTCTGAAGTTCTGCCTGCGCAAAGCCCGACTCTTTGGTAAACCCCCAGTAAGTGAGTTATGCTTACCATACTTTAAGTACAACTTATGGTTAAGTTCATTACCATTATTATAAACCTATAAACAAGATTTATCAGCGATTTAAAGTCGTTATACTGATTGATCTACTTACGGGGATGATGTTTAGGTTGTGATTTAGTAAGGTGTTTAAAGTGGGTTTTGCAAACAGTATACTTCGTTTGCCAAATGGACCCTACCTCCGATATGATACTACCTACTTGTTCCTTACTTGATAGATCGTGAAGTAGACTTTGAATTAATGATGGATCTAGACTAATAATTAGTTGCAATAAATATTAGACTAAAACTTAGTATAATAATAGTAGGTTATGTCAACGGAAAAGACTATTGCTAGAAGCGAAACGCTTTCCGAATTACGAATCGTCACTTTAACAAGTGAGTGCATAGTTGCTTTCATCTTACACATAGATATGAAGTATTTAATATTTTTTTTGGAAGAGAGAAATATTTAATATTAATACATGATATATGTGCTTATTATCTGTGTTCCTAATATCTATGCTAGATGAATGTTTTATACATGTTTTACCTAATTTAAATTATTTATGTATATTTATACCTATAAATGTATTGGGTAAAGATGGGTAGGTGAAAGATGATGTAGAAGATGAGCGATGAAAGATAAAACAGATGATGAGAGGCATTAACCTTAAAGATGATGTCATCTAACAAAGTATAGATAACAACCACAGACTATTCTAGACAGTCCAGTGGAACGCTAGCAGGCTCGCAACCTGTAGTTATTTGTGAACAACGTGTTCACCAAATGTACTTTAAAAACTCTAGCAGCTATGGACTTAGTGCCTTATAGATGAACATTGACGGCTATGGATTTAGTGTCATAATGGATAATACTGGCAGCTATGGACTTAGTGCCTGTTAGATAAACCCTGACAGCGATGGACTTCGTGCCTATTCCTTAAGACAATCCTTAGGAATGAATAAATGAAGAATAGATGATCCTTAGGGTAGATCATTGAGAATAAAAAAGATAATGGGGATGAGAAATTGGGTTAATTGTTTGATGATTAAATATATTAATTATATTATTGTGGGTTGAAACCCCTATGTACTCACCGGGTTTCCCAACCTGACCCACTCAATTTATTGTATCACAGGTAGCGATATTAAAGATACATCATGCTGAGAGATTCAAGGACTATTAAGCCATTAGTTTAATTACTGTAAGGCTTGTAATATTTCGTTATGCTTATGTTTCTATATTGACGATGATATCCGAATGTTTTTAAAATAAATAAAATACATTTCTTCGAAAATGCTTTGATAATATATTTATCATGTTTTCTGGGAACAAATTCCGCAAAGTTATTCCTCAAAAAGGGATACTTTGATTTTTAAATAAGCATAAACAAATCGGTCTTTTCTAGCCGTGAAAATGGGAATGTCACACTATCCATAATGAAGCTTACCGCGTTTACTGGACGTTTTCGAAAAAAAAATGAGGGGTCGGTCAAGCTAAGTTTTTATAAACGAATTTTCGTGAAATTATTTTTAAAAGTACATTGTTTTCACAAATTTAATTCGGTATAAAAGTTATTTACTCAAGCTTTATTTGATTTATTATATATGAATTCTGAATCTGCAATAAAGGTATTGAGATTGTTGTCTAGGTAGTGATTTCATTGGAGCTTCCCTTGGTGTGAAATCTGATCTTGTGAAGAAAAAAAAAGAGTGAAGTATTTTTAGTTCGAGTTATTTCCTTCATATTATTCTAAATTCTTTTTAGGTCATCTACATCTTTCCATTTGTCCATAGTGTTTAATCTTTTTATTACTTGAGGGAAAGTAAGGTTTAAGCTTGATGAAATTTGATAGATACCATCTTATACATATTTTAGGGTAGTTTTTATTAGCATTTTGCATCATTTTTATGCTTTTTCATGTGTATTAGTTTAAATAATGTTCAAATCATGTATTTCGTGAGAATTCTTGTATTACCATGTTGTGGTGTCTATTTCAGGTGATTTGAAGCGGAGCGATAGTTTAAAAGTCTTTGGAGCATATTTGGAGCTTATTTGGAGCCAAAACGCTAAACAAATACCGAATATGGGCAATTTCTCACCAAAAACGGGTCGTTCTTCACCTACGAAACATAACCGGAAGATTTCTGATTTTTTTGAGGCATTTGAAAATTTCGACCCTGAAGCACAGGCCGTGCCTACCTTCAGATGCCATTATTTTGGGTGTTATAACTTGAGAAGCCCAAACACGGGTCGTGCCTCGCAAGCATGGGTCATTCATTCCCATCAAAGTCCAATTTTTTGGTTTTTTCTGATTTTTTTCCAAAATCTCAATTGCGATGACCTAGCACGGGCCTT